GAGAGAGAGAGAGAGAGAGAGAGGGGGGTACTTCCTTGAGCCCTTGTACACCAGGAACTCCGATACGTCCTAAAACGTCAACATGATGAAATTTTAATGGGAAAGCATATTTGCCAAAATGCCAAGCTTGTTTTTCCACAAGGGTCAAACCAGTTTCTGTTGGTTAAAACACACTTGTGAGTCTAATCGTCTGACTCCGCAACGTATTACGTAGAAAGGGAGAGAGTGGGAGAGCCAGAGACAGAGAGAGAGAGAGAGAGACAGAGACAGAGTGAGACAGAGAGAAAGACAGACTGACAGACAGACAGACAGATGGACAGACAGCAGACAGGCAGAGAGAAAGATAGACAGATAGACAGATGGAGAGAAATAGAGAGAAAGACAGAGAGGGAGAGGAATGATCTGAACCCCGTATATTATATACAATTTGAATATTATCTTTGATTGTGTAATGTGGCAGTCCAAGCCTTATGGAGACTTCTAGAGTCTTTCGCAGGGATAAGTATACAGCTTTGAAAAAAAAACTTTCAAACTGATATTTAAAAAGTACATGTAGATATTTTACTACCCCACCATTACAATCTAGTTTAGTTAGGTGTCATGCTTTTACCCTGTCTGTCTGGGCCAACCGAGGTTGAGAGGAAAACAAATTCCTAGCAGAAAGACTAGAAACTAGATTAAAATTATCACATTATTGGAATCGAACTCAGGTCTTCTGCGTACGACGGCGAATTGCCTCTCAGCCATACCACAGAGGTGGGTTCTTCTTAAAAAATGTGGGTGTGTTTTTTACGCACAGTTTAACTCAAGTTGTAAATGAAGGTAAAATGAGTGTATCTCCCTTATCTTTCTTCTGACAGCTTAATAGCTTCGTTTTGATCAACTTATAATCCTAATCCTAATTATTAGAGAAAAAATAGTAGGCACTGACCACTACCTCCTTCAAGAAAGCACAACAAAACAAACAAATTCAAAAGACACAAACATAAACACAAGCAAACAACAATCCGAGACAAATAAATTATATTATATTATGTATCTATTATATATGTGAATAAATAAATAAATAAACATAATGATATATATTTACCCAAATGTTTAGTCAAGTAGCTTTAAAAAAAACGCACCATAATGCAAAACGAACGTTTACCGGAAGGCCTACTAAAAAACGAATTTTCGGTAACCAGGTTCAGAATTAAGGAATTCTGCAAGGTGTGGACATTTCACAGAGATCCACAATGGAAGAAACGAGTTAGTCTGAACACAAGCTTACCTTTAGAAAAACGCAGCTAATTATAAAAAAGGGCTAAAAATGAACACCATGGAACGAAGATAAAAGCTGTTGGATGGCCCTTGGATGTACTGCAATTCCTCTCTTTTTTCTATTAGTTAATTCTTGATTTCTAAGCTTATTTTTGTCTCGATTTTTAATCATCAAGTTAAAGCGTCACTGAAGCAAAAACTTAATCACCCATGTTGTCATGTTTTCCAAATCAGGCCAATCCTAGGTAGTTTTGTTTTGCCTTTGCTTTTGGTTTGTTTTCTTTCTTCTTTTTTCTTTCTCTCAACTTAGTACTCCTTGGATGACAAGCTTCAGAAGTATCTCCCACAATTTTTCCACCTATGTTTCACTTTGTAGCCTATAGTAACGACGGTAGGAAAGAATACACACAACTCCACGCCGTTCTCAACAAAACGTGAGCTTATTAAATCAGATAACACCACACAGCGACGGGGCCCATTAAGGGAAAGGGAGGGTGGGAATGCCAGTCTGTGTGAGGATTGCAGTGGCACACACTTTCTGTGGTGGATGGAACACGAGTACTGTTCGAGGTATCGATATGCTTTCTATACGAGTATTGTGTCAGATGATGATGATTATGATGAGGATGATGATGATGATAGTAAGATTTCAGTTTGGTAAGAGTTTCACGTTGCTCTCAACTGCGTAAGGTTATATGATCATAGATAGTATGACGAAGAAGAAGAAGAAGAAAAAGTAGAAGAAGAAGAAGAAGAAGAAAAAGAAGAACGATACTATTAGTACTACTACTACTACTACTACTACTTCTACTACTACTACTATTACTACTACTACTACTACTACTACTACTACTACTACTACTACTATTACTACTACTACTACTACTACTACTACTACTACTATTACTACTACTACTACTACCACTACTACTACTACTACTACTGCTACTACTACTGCTGCCACTACTACTACTACTACTACTACTACTACTACTACTACTACTACTACTACTACTAACAACCATATTGATAATGGAAGCTGAATATTTCAA